CAGGTTTGAAATCAACAACAATACCTATACACTAGCTGTGTCTCATTTCAGAGGCTGTGCACTGCGTCATCGCAAACAAATTCGGAGGATCAGTCTCCAAACGCGTCCTTAGTTTCCCAGGTAATGAAGGAAACAACCGGTGGATCCTTCACAGCCTCGAACGTCCCAAGATTCATTGCGTGCTGATAACGGCAGGGCATTTTTAAAAGAAAACTCTGGATTAAATTCACCTTTGAAGTCTGCATCCTTTGGAGGATGCAGTCTCTGAAATGAGACACAGCTACTGTAAAATTGAAATTTTTAAGCTAAATCAAATTACTTACAAAAACTTATGTGAACCTGACCTAAAACAGCTTATAAAATTAAGCTAGAGCATGATTTACTTAGTTTAATAAGTTACAATGAACTAAAAACATATGCTGTCACAATTAATTGATCATATAATTTTCTACAGTATAAGAAATAGTTCTAAAATTGTTCTTAATTTGAAAGAGAAATAATGACAATATATTGGCATAATATGTGTCAATATGCTCCAATACTCCAATAAATTATGTTTGCTGTTTGTTCAAGCTACTTACTTAAAATGAGCTAAAACAACACAATTCTTGAGTTTTTTTTGACAACTTGTTTTATGTCCATTCCACTTAAAATTGTAAAAATTAATAAGTTAACTCCTTCTTGTTGTTCTAACACAAATCGGTTGTGTGGAACCCAGCAATTTTATAGTTTACGTAAAAACTATTAACCCACAAAAACTATGATTTTTTTTTAAGTGGTTGCTTAATTGTTTTCCTCATATCTATGTAGGATATACTGTATGTGTTTTATATGATAAAAATAAGTATTTCTGATTATTTCCTATTGGACATAATGCTGTTTTCATAATCTTGTTTACTTGCCATTTGAAGTATAATGTGTTCATAACAAACATGTTTTTCATTTTTTGCTTAAAATAAACAGAAGTTGGAAGAACCATTTAGAGTTTGCAAACATCCTAAAGCTCTTCAAACCGCTGAGAGTGGTGGAATATGCACATATATGCAAATATCTCCCACCTCAACATATGAAATCAACTGAATATTTCGACATCAAAGAAGGTGGAGCCTTCAGCCACACCCACCTATTCTGTAATGATAGTTAGAAGTTATTTAACAGCTGGATTTGTTTACCAGTTGTTGTTGTTTTATCCAGTTTTACTCACAACTATCTTGTAATTTTTGTATGAAGTATACCAGTGCCTTCAGTCTATAAGCTTGTTGACTAGGATATTTTTTGCTACACTTCCTTCACTATACATCAGTTCTGACAGGCACAGATTATACATTCCATGCTTAATATATACGCACAATTGTCTTTTCATGTGATTTTCTTATATATATTCTCTTCTCCAGTGTCAAGACGATGGTTGTTTTGTCTATGACAGATGCAGTGAAATAATTACGGAGCGGGTGGATCACAGTAGGCGAGGGACAGACAGAGGGAGACAGTAACGGCATCCACAAACATATATTGGGCTGCTTCTATCTGTCTGGAAAAGCCCCAGTGGTGATTGCGACTGCTCTGAGCTCTGAGACAAAGAGGCCATTGAGGGAAGCGGAAAGGGAAAAGAGCGACAGAACCAGACGTCAGCGCTGGGAAGAGCACAGCTGTAAGCACTCTGTTTACGTCTCGTCTCAGACACAACGCAGATAAATTTAGAAAGCAAGATTGAGTAACACTCATTAACAAAACCATGCGCGGGGGCCTGTTACGCATGCGTGAGGCCAGCATTCCAGAGAAAACACTTTTTTTTGATGTTCCCTTTTGGACTTTCTTTTCACTAGGCTACATGTAACTTTTCAAGTTCAAGTGAACTTATTTTACTAGCCCTAACTCTACCAAGCAGTCTACTAATACGCTACGACTTAGTTGATATGCAGTTGCAAAGATGCTAGTCATAATAGACTTTAATAGCTTTAATATCTGATTGGAAATAACTTTGCCAGTACATACGTTGTTCTACTAACTCAAAGTCTAACCTTATTGATCAGTCAATCCTCAAATATTACTGTATTGAGAGATAGTTAACATGTTGCTACATAATTGATGTATACAACATTTCAGTGCGGTAAAGTCACTGGCCCATGAACATATCCTGCTTGTTGTCAAACTATTTTAATTACTAACAAGAGGCAATTCAGCCATATCACAACATTAAAACAGCTGTCATAACATTATTTGTCAATATGTTGACCTTTCAGGATTCCCGGAAGCTATAGAAATGAGAAATGTAAAACAGGATATACATTTGGACCATTGTTTTTGTTTACATTCCTTAAAATGGTCTATAATTGTGACTGTGAAAATGTAGTGATCTTTTGTTGTGCTCTAAGACAAGACATCAGATTTGCTCGCTGTGTTTTGTGTAAACTCTTAATACACCATGAATAGATGTGATATTAGAAATCCTTAGGGTCCAAAGTGATCTAGGTAGTAAGCGAAAAATATGTTTCTTTAAAGTATTTTGCCTATTTTGTGAACATTTTCCTGTTTAATTTCACACTGCCATTTTAAAAGAGTAACTATTAATTTGACTAGTGAGTGAAATTTATTAATTACATGTATTACAGACTATATTGGTTATAGGGTTACTAAAATTACTACATTAAGTACACAAAACATGTCCAACATGGACAGTTTTATGTAAAAATATATTATTAGTTACAGTATATTAGTAGCTTAAAAGTTTAAATGCAAATCAATAAAAAATAGAGGTTTTAAAAATATTTCTAGTAAAATGGTTTAAATTTACTTTTAGAGACAAATGCAAATCTACTAAAATATAAAAAAGGCTGAGAGCATGGAATAAAAGTTAACCATTTATTTTGATAGTCTTTTTAAGACACTATGTTGATGTATTATAAGTTTTTACTTTTACTAGAGTACAATTTGTTGACTGATATCATACTGACAGTCTTGATAGAATGAGCTAATAAGAAATTATGTAAATGTAAAATTACTCATTGTTGAACTTAATAATAATAATTCCTTTAATTTAATAACACTTTTCTGGAGACTCAAAGCACTTTACACATTTTTTGTGGGGGTGGTATCTTCATCCACCACCAGTGTGCGGCATCCACCTGGAGCAGCCATATTGCGCCATACTGCACACCACACACCAGCTGATTGGTGGAGAGGAGACAGAGTGATGAAGCCAATTATAATATGGGGATGGTTAGGAGGCCATGATGGACAGGTCAGTGGGCAAATTTGGCTACTTTTTTTTTTTTTTCCATAGGACTTTGGTTTGACGTCTTTGAAGTCCCCATCAATATACTGGGGCGTTAGGATCCACACAGACCACAGATTGGACACCCCCTGCTGGTCTCACTAACACCACTTCCGGCACCAACACAGCTTTCCCATGTAGTCTCCCATGCAGGTACTGACCTGGCGCAGCCCTGCTTAGCTTCAGTGAGTGACCATGTGAGAGTTGAAGAGAGCTAGGCAAGCTTCAGTTGTGAGACCATCAAAATAGTCAAAGTCAAATGATGTGAGACCAAAATAGCAAACATATAGAGGGATTGCTAATGGGGAGGTTTAATAATGTGTTACCCCTAGTTTTATAATTATTATTGTTATTTGCAACAGCAATTGGATAATAGTGTTGATGTACAGACCTCCTCTATGATGGCTTGTATGTTGGCTCTGAGAGGCACCAGTGAGCAGACCACCGCCAGCATCCAAAACAGAAAGAGAAACATAGAGGAACGAAAGCCCCTCAGCCTTTCTAAGTGGATCATTAACATCGCCAGTATCTGTAGACACAGTGGGGTCAGTTTAGAAACATCCAACACACACACAAAAAAAAAATACAACTATAGAACATTAGGCAGTATTTAAAACAGGTATCAATTAATTTGGGTTAAGATATTTCTGTATTGATCCTGGTACAAAAATCTAATGTTATTGTTTAGTTTGTGTTTTAGGATCCTATATTTGACTTTTCTTAAAAAAAAATAAAATAAAAAATAAGTCATTTACTACAGTACAACCACTGTTGACACTGCAGTCTGCTGTGACCAGAGGTAAAAGAGGCTTATTTTTTCTGATCCCTTCAGGAAACTTCTGCCAGACGTCTAGCCACAAAAAGATTTGTTCATTCAAGCTTAAATATAACAGATTATAAATTTTGACTATCTTTAAAAATGAGTTTTATTGAAAAAAAACAAAACTATTTAAATCCTTAGTTTGGGCTCGTTGTTCTTCTCAGTTTTATTTTTCATAACACTGGTTAATGGACATTTTAAAATCACTCTATATCTTAAAATCATAGACTTTTACATCATATATGTATAATTACCAGTACAATTAAGAGCCATTTAAATAATAATAATAATAATACAATTATTGTATGTACCGCCTTTGTAGTGCTCATGGATGCTTTACAATAACAGTATTGGAATATGAAAAACAATAACTTTAAAAATGTTCAGAAAATAGAAATAAGACAAAGAAATGGACACAAAAGCTACAGAACATAATGATTATAACATTCAGAAAATGAGTGAGTTTTAAGGAGAAACTTAGTGATATTTAGAAATATTATTGTGCAACAGCACAGAATTTTCTTCCCCCATAAAGCGAGGCGATGCCAAGGGACAACAAGAAGGACAGAGCTCGAAGATTGCAATGACAGTGTTGGAGTGCAGTGAGTGAGTAAATTACAAAGGTTTGAGAGAGCTACAGCACGCAATGATATGAAGGCAAGTAAGAGAATTTCGGTACTGGAAGCCAGAGGAGGTTGTGTAGATTGGGGTGGTATGAGAGTTTGGTATTTTTAGTAGCAGAGTTTTGAATATATTTCAATTATGGAGGCTTGGGAAAATAGTAATAGTGTGATTTACCATGGTAAGGCTGCGGATTATAGGGCTCAGGAGAAAGACCATGTGATGCTCTATGTCTCTCCTTCTTTCCACCAGCAGGTAGACCGTCTCCAGAAAACCAAAGGAGGCCAGACAGAGAGCCAAACCCTATAAGATGTGCACAAAAACATGTGAGCAACATTATTCTGTCATTCTCTGAAAAAATGCTTTACTTGCATGACCGTTCTAATGTTGGGGGGCAAATAAGACTATTTTGCTCATTTAATCTGTCATTTGATTATTTTTGATAATTTAATTTTACAATATTATATATTTAAAATATTATTTATTATTTTGTCACTATATTAGTATTTTCAGCATCAATTTTCTTATTTGGATGTTTGACAAATCGGTCTATCATTTGCTTAAGCTCTCAGTTGAAAAAAAGTTGTGCTGCTTTTTTGTTTAGATAAAAAAAAACATGACTGACATTCTAGTCATTCAAGTTTATTTGAACTATAATATTTTTGTAACATTGTGAACATTTGTCATTTTTACTGTGAACTTTTAGTCTTAACGTTAACATTCAGTCCTGCTGAATATAATGTATAGATTAAGGAAAAGAGATCTTTTTGACCTCAAACGATAATGTATTCCCTGCTATGATTGATTTATTTGCTATCTTAAAAAATATTCTGGTGTTGATGAACAAACCTTAACATCCATTAGAGCAGTAGTCACCAAACTTGCTCCTGGAGGGCCGGTGTCCTGGAGATTGTAGCTCCAACCCTAATCAAACACACCTGAACAAGCTAATCAAGGTGTTATTAGGTATATTTGAAACATCCAGGCAGGTGTGTTGAGGCAAGTTGGAGCTAAACCCTGCAGGGACACCGGCCCTCCAGGACCGAGATTGGTGACCCCTGCATTAGAGGTTATTTGTAGTGGAAACTCTTTTTTTTAAATTAATATTTAGACACTAAAAACATGGGACTGAGCCCTGCATTATCCATTCATTAGTTTTTTTCCCCCACAGAATGTATTACATTTATTTTAAATGATTGTAGTGGTGTCATCCTGTTCTATATGTTTTTAATCCGACTGATGCTATATTCAAGTTAGCAGTTTAGAAAGCCTTGGGGATGATAACTAGAATGCAAGTCTTGATATGACTGAAATGACTCACCGTCTTGGCACAGCAGAGGCTGGATATAGATATGCGTCCATTGTCATAGAATTTGAGATACAAGCAGTAGAAAGGGGCACAGATCCAGAGATAGAAACAAGGGAACCACACCAGTATTGTGTGCTGGAAGCACTTTGTAAGGTCTGGATGTGCTGTGTACCACGTGACGTTCCAATCCTGAAACAAAACAATAAACCATTAGACCTCTCAAACTCCTTAACATGTTACATCAAGAGGGATATACATCTTAACAAACTCATAATGCATGTTTTATAACTTGTATTGCACTCATAGTTAAATGGATGTTCAGTGATGTTCCCCTGTGATGGTTCAGTCCAAAAGCCTCTGTGTCATTTGTGCTTGTTATGCTTCTAAAGTTTTAACAGCTAAATAGTGTGAAGTTGCACAGAGGTAAAAGGTGATACTCAAATAATAAATCTTCTCTGTTTTTCAGTGCTTTAAAATATAGCTTTGCTTGCCAAGTGAGTTCATGATGAATGCAGCAGGATTCACCCTGGTTGTTATCACAAGTCATGACAGGATAAAAACCTCTTCACATCAAAGAAAGAAGATTGAAACTTGAGGCAGTGACCTGACTTGTCCTTCAGTTATTAGGAATTCACACCTTTTGCAGGCATCAACATATTTGACATATTTGAAAAAATATGAATGTATTTTTTTTTAATCTGCAACAAGCCAATGTATTAACCTCATTTTAGCTTGACAGATTGTTTAGCTTCTTTATATAACATTTCCACAGCATTATACTCAAAAGAAACATTTGTAGATACATTTTAATTCTTTCTAGTAGTATTGGCGACAACAACTATGTACTTTCCAAAGTACATAGTGCGCACAAATATTGACGCTGAATAACACTTTGTGCACACTGCTGAGTGATAAATTGAAGAGTGTTCCCAGTGTTTGATAGTCTGAAAGTCTACATTTAAAATAAATGCAAATGTATTTCACAATTGAAAGCAAACAGGCTTTGATACAGGGCGAAATGATGCTCTCTGGATTTCGATTGCATCAAACACAGTGTTACCAGGCTTAAAATCATTGCCAAGTCTTTCTTAGGTGAATTTCACAGGCTCTTTCCAGTCTGACATCAAGTAATTCACACTGTATCTTTTCAGTTATTTCTGGCCCTTCCATCTTGGAAAGTAGGCTGATGTCCAAACGCAGCTGTAGAGCTGCTCTGTTTTTTTCTTTCAAACTTCCACTGGACTGACGAGAACTTATTTGGCTGTGTTTTATGCTGTGGTTATTTCGGCAATGGCACCACTCTGATGAATACTGCATGCTGGTTGGAAGGAGTCTTGTGGTATGGCAGTATATAAGATGTCACCTTTGGCAAGCCACAATGTAAACCCCATATACACCATGAGAAAGGCCATGAGCACCAAGCACATCAGCGTACTGTAGTACAGCCATTTTCCTATTTTTTTAAGATATATATGAACATTATTTTTCTTAAAATAAATTAAAACATTTGTTTATCATTATATAAGTTTGACATTATATTAAAATCCTGAAAGTAGTCCATACAATTAACATACTTCATTTAAAGTCTTGTGATTCATACAACATTGTTTTGTGAGAAATTTGACAAATGTAACCCTCAGTTCACCTTTAATGTAAAAGTGGCCAACAGGTAGAGGCTTTGTGAGTAAACCTTGCTCTCTTGGCCTCAACTAAGGGCTGTAGATTTTAGTGACCTCTTATGATGCCTGTCTGTACACTAGCACTCGACAACTACTCTATTGCCTGCCTGATATCAGTATGGCTTTTTATTCTTTTGTTTTCTGTTCATCTATGAGAATGGCTTTAACACGATTGACATTATAACTAGTCCTGCAGAAATAATTCTGACTTGACTTGAATCCCATTCCAGTAACACTGGTTGAAATCCTACGTTGAGTGAATGAGAAGAACAGCAAGAGTTTAATTGTTGTCGTGACCCAACTAGGAGTAAGCTTTTGGGAGAAGTCTAACAGAGGCAATCTTGTTGGAGCACTGTCAGTAAACCTCATTCTCTTGGCATCATTAGTTAAATCTGAGGAGAATGGGACAGGTTTTGTTGGTGTGTGACCCAATAGAGAGGCAGGTTTAGGGGCAAGTGTTAGGATCTTGTAGGAGCTGTGTGAGAATCACTTCTGGCTACACAAAGAACACCAGCAACTGATACCAGATGCTGTGGCCTTTGTTAGCATGCTAATCTTTCATGCTGCAAACCTTGTTAAAAAATATTACTTATGTGGGGTGCATATATTTAGAAGAAACACTCGTGCTGTGACTCAGATTTGTTTTATTATTATTATTATTTTTTGGAATATCAGTATAACAGAGTCCAGAGATAGTGTTATTATATTAATAAACTTCACTTTCCTGATCTCAATAGCAAAGGCTTCAATCTTTAGCATTCTTGTTAGCACAGTTTCCTGTGCCAAAAACCCTGGTTTGAATCCTGCTTGCTTGGATATAGATGTGCAATATGAAGGGGTTTCATTGGTTCTGTGACCTGAATGGGAACAAGGTTTAAGGCGTGATTGTAAAAGAGGCCATCTAATTAGACCTGTGCAAGTAAGTCTCAATCAACTGGTCTCAAGAAGAACAATTGCAACTGATGTTAGAGACGATTTTAGCCTCCTTGTTAGTGCACTTTTCTCCCATGCTGGAAATACTAGTTTGAATTCTGCTGAAAGAGAGGAAGGTGAAAAGGAAGGAACTGATAGAAATTAAACATAGCAAAATGATGACAGATTTTTTTTATTTTGAATGATCTACCCTAAAAGTGAAATCCCTACACTTACTGCAGATTTGAGATAAGATATTTGGCTAGGTTACATTATTGTTTTGGAGAGGATACGTCCTCGTTTTTGTGAGGTTGTACTGTGGCCTTGGTTTAGGAAGGGAAAGATATCCTTATTCACGTGGCAGTGCACCACACAGTCACAGTTTTCCACAGGGAGTTCAATGGACCTTAAAGACACCCACCTCTACCCATCTTGCAACCTCTAAGACTGTTTGCACTGGTCTAAACCCAATGGCAACCAAAGTCTCAGGAAGTGATTCAGAGCACTGTGTGTACCCTTCCTGAGAGTGTAGGAGTTCAGACTGCCGGTCAGCACATATAACGGTTTAAAAATGACACCACCGATGTTTGGATTTATTCAGAGGAAATGTGTAAGCATGGTTTGTAATTTAGAAGTCTCCAGTCATTTATTTTGGAATCTGAGAAGCTACTTTAACAATATATATTGCCAGCCATATTCAGTAAGTCGATTTTAAGCGCTTAATAAAAAGACTCAAACAGATTATGTAGAATCAGGACAGACAGAGTTACATTAGTCAGACCACTGCTGTCATGACCTTGACCTTCTTCAATTCTTACATTTCCTTAGTAATTCCTATTTTGTCACTAAGACTTACATTTTCAAATGTTATCAAGCCTATTAATGGCATGGTATCAGTTTTCTTAGGTTATCAAATATAAATTTTTGGGTTATGCAAGATAAAAATAGGTGTATTCAAATATCAGTGGAAGGTTAATAATTAAATACCAGAAATCGTACACTTGGAAACATCATAGACATCAACTTATGTCTTGTTGCCCTATTTTGCAATTTCCAATCTACTTGATTGGGGAAAAATAAAAACGGCTTTTCATGCTTGCGTTTAAATAACATATTTTAAATCAGCAACTCTGATGTGGCCTGTCAGATAAATATTAGTTTATCACCCTGCTGCCCAAGACCGGTTACTCACTGAAGCTAAGCTGGGCTGAGCCTGGTCAGTACCTGGATAGGAGACCATTAGGGAACACTAGGTTGCTGTTGGAAGTGGTGTTAGTAAGGCCTGCAGGGGGCGCTTAACCTGTGGTCTCTGTGAGTCCTAATGCCCCAGTAAAAGTGAAGGGGACACTACACTGTCAGTGGGCGCCGTCTTTCTGATGAGACGTTAAACCGAGGTCCTGACTCGGGTCATTCAAAATCCCATGGCACTTCTCGTGAAAGAGCAGCGGTGTAACCCCGGTTTCATGGCCAAAATCCCTCTATCGGCCCTTGCGATCATGGCCTCCTAATCATCCCTTTCCACCGAATTGGCTCTATCACTGTCTTTCCACTCCACCAATAGCTGGTGTGTGGTGAGCACACTGGCGCCGTTGTCCAGTGGTCCAATTGGATGCTGCACACTGGTGGTGTTGTGGAGAGACCCCCCTCATGATTGTGAAGCGCTTTGGGTGTATGGCCATACACAATAAATGCGCTATATAAATACACATTAAATTACATTACATTACGTTAGTTGTTTAATAATTTTAATAAATCATCAGTTGTGTAGAGCCATGTGCTTAATTATTTGTAAGGCACAACGTTTTTCTGCCATATTGCATGTAGCAATATCTCTCATTGATGGTAGTATGAGTGAGCCGGCATAAAGCATGTATGTGTAAATATATCAGTTTTAGTAAAGATAATAACGTACCCTAGCGATATTCCTAAGAAATCTTACTAATAGTAATTGAAACATATCAGAAATAAATGAGAACTGTGTATATTGATGTACAGTTGATGATTCTTGCAATGTTTTTGAGATGATAGGGTAACACTTTACAATAAGGTTCATTAGTTAATGCGTTTACTAACATGAACTAATCATGAACAACACATGTACAGCATTTATTAATCATAACTGAACATTTACTAATGCATTATTAACATCCAAGTCCATTCTTGTTAACATTAGTTAATGCACCATGAGTTAACATTAACTAATAATGAACTACTGTATTTTCATTAACTAACGTTAGCTAACATGAACAAATACAGTAGTAGATGTATTGTTCATTGTTTGTTCATGTTATTAAATGCATTATTTACATTAACTAATGAACCTTATTGTAAAGTGTGACCGATGATTGTATGCTGATTTACTAACTGCTTTGATGCAGTAGATTTTTTCAAAACATTTTAAAACATAAACGTTTTAATAACTCACCTGTTATAACTGATTTCTTTTATCTTTGTCATGTTGACAATAAATAATGTTTTACTAGATATTTTTCAAGACACTTCTACACAGCTTAAAGTGACATTTAAAGGCGTAACTAGGTAAATTAGGTTAACTAGGCAGGTTAGAGTAATTAGGCAAGTTATTGTGTAACGATGGTTTGTTCTGTAGACTATTAAAAAAAGCTAATAATTTTTACTTAATTTTTTTATTTAATCTGCTTTTATTTTAGCTAAAATAATACAAATAAGACTTTCTCCAGAAGAAATAAACATTATCAAATATTTCTGTGAAAATTTCCTTACTCTGTTAAACAGCATTTGGAAAAATTTTAAAAAAGAAAACAAATCAAAGGGGGGCTAATAATTCTGACTTCAACTGCAATTCTGTCAAAATTCATTTTTCTTTCATTTTATGGTTGTTTTCCGAGACATTACCTTGTTTGTTAGCTGTACTGCAACTCTTGCATTTTGAAATGCTATTAAATGTGGTCAGTTACTTATTGATTGAACATCATCATCTGCTTTATCATCATTGTGAAATGGTAAATATTGCATCATGAATGCACAGTGGAGAACCATAGTGTACCCTGATGATGTCACCACACCAATATCATTACACCTGATTATGCCTTGTTAGCCTTGTGCATTACACAACACTGCAGCAGAACATCATTTATCTTTTCTTTTTCCTGAATTTCAACACATGCAATGTACATGTACATGTACATGTACATGCAATCTGTAATCATTGTTTAAAATATGGGTTAAAGTACAGTTACATGCATTGAACTCCTGCCGATTGCAGTGCGCCTAGTTTGAATGTAAACACAGTGACATACTGACATACTTAAGTTTAAAGCATGTAAATAATCTTTTTGCTTATGTTTATGTGTGAATGAAAGGTTTAATATGATTAAACTTTTGCATTCTGTGCTGTTTTAAATCTTAGCCAATGAATCATTGGATCAAAAATACATAATTCCCCACAAATATCCAGAACCAGTGATCAACTCCAGGAATAACAGTCCACAAATAGTGAAAACTGATGACTAAATGACTAAATCTAATGTTTGAATTGGCTGTATTGAAATGAAGGATTTGATTTCATTACAGAAGACTCACCCAGAGAGGGTCCAGGCCACTGAGACTGCAGAGTGTGTCCATCCAGGCTCCTCTCTTTTTCCCTTCCTCAAGTAAATCCCTCAGCAGTGTCCCACTCTCCTGCCCGTGTCGTCTCTGCTGGCAAAGTAAGCGTGTTTGATAGTAGTTGTGCCTGTGTGTGTTTCACCCCCCGTTTTTTTTCTAAGCCAGCCTCCTGACTTATGTCTCGTACAGTCTGAGAGCAGGTTTGTGTAACTGTCCTGTTTATGAGCACTGGCCTGCCAGGTGGGTGGAAGATTTGGACTGTGTAAAACTGCTCTGTTTCGTCGCTCTGGCCCACGTGTGCTGAGGCCACAGCACCACAGACATTCCCCTGGAGGAGATGAGAGTACCGCAGACGTGGCCACACCTCGCTCTTCTTCAGGTCTTGCCTTTGTAAACTCCCCCAACCCCACCCTCACACTCTCCAGCCTGCTTTTCAATCGAAAGGGCAAATGTTTTATAGCAAGTATGACTTGCATTCTTCAAGAAATATGATCGTATTTTTAACAAGTGGAGCAAATGGCAATTTAGACTATATCCAAATAGAGAACACCATTAATTGTAGCATGAATAAAAACTACAGCTAAAATTTCAGATAGTTACAGGACTCCACAATGAGCAGAAAGTGAACAAGCCCTTTCTATAAACTACTAGAGTACATCTGCAGCCACAGGACTCTTACAGGACATTACTAGTCTCTCACAAAAAACACTAGTCTCTCATGGGACAATCACTAGTCTCTAACAGGACATCACTAATCTCTCACAGACCTCACTAGTCTCTTACAGCACATCACTAATCTCTCACAGACCTCACTAGTCTCTAACAGCACTTCGCTAGTCTCTAACAGACCTCACAAGTCTCTTACAGCACATCACTAGTCTCTCACAGACATAACTGGTCTCTTACAGCACATCATTGGACATCACTTGTCTCTTACAAAACATGTGTTCTTTGTTCATGTTCTCCATTTCAATCTCTTTCACAGTTCACTGGTTTCTAAGCTGTAACTTTGTCACCAGTGATATTCCAGAGAATTCATTTCAGGTTTAGGTCAGGACTCTTTGCTGGCTTTTTCATTATGTTAATGTTATCAACTTTAAGGAAATGCTTTATCCATTATGCTCATGAAACCACAGGATGATTAATGGGGGATGAATGTGGGGCAGGAACTGCATGTTGTTAAAGGAGCTTCATCTGGACAACCTGCTGTTAAAGAGTTTTTATTCATCTTATAAATTCAGTGAAAATGCTTAAAATCTGTTTATTTTTATTTTTTTAATCCAAACAGGATTAGGCAGCAAAGCAGTTGAATGCTATTGCGCTCTTTAGAAGTTGAAGTCAGAATTATTAGCCCCCTGTTTATTTTTTCCCTCAATTTCTGTTTAACAGAGAGCAGATTTTTTTTCAACACATTTCTAACATAACAGTTTTAATAAATCATTTCTAATAACTGATTTATTTTATCTTTGCCATGATGATAGTAAATAATATTTTACTAGATGTTTTTCAAGACGCTTCTATACACATTAAAGTGACATTTAAAGGCTCAACTAGGTTTATGTATAACGATGGTTTGTTCTGTAGACTATTGAAAAAAATATAGCTTAAAGGGGCTAATAATTGTGACCTAAAAATATTTTTTTAAAAATAAAAAACTGTTTTTATTCTAGGTAAAACAAAACAAATAAGACTTTCTCCAGAAGAAAAAATATTATCAGACATACTGTGAAAATGTTCTTGCTCTGTTAAACATCATTTGGGAAACAGTAAAAAAAATCAAAGGGGGGCTAATAATTCTGACTTTAATATATACATATTTTTAATTTTAATATGTCATTTTCATGTAAGTTATTATTTAAATATAACTACAGTATATACTCTTACTATAAAATGCATAGTGGGCTTCTTTAAACTTTAGAAGCTTTAAAGAAGCAAGTTATAAAATATAAATATTCTAAATCCCACTTGTGACCAAATTCAATTTCTCAATCCCATTACCAGTACTTTCCCTCTTATTTCCTGTCTTTTTTGTGGCAAGAAAGAAACATATTGGGATTTTCCATTTGGGAGTACTATGCTAACCAGCAAAAAAAAAAAAAAAAGGCACACAAATCCACTTCATTATGTTTCCACATTGGTGTGCATATGGTGGAATTATGACATAAGCTTCTCCATTTAGTTTAAATTCAACTCCAACTTGACTGTAACAGACATCAAAATAAACTCACGAATGTATCATCCTTCAGAAATGAAAATAGTGAAGTTTGGATTGGTAGTAACATTTAATATTCATCTAAACATCTCGAGCATTCATTCAATCATCTTAAGCCAACTTATCCTGCATATGTTTTACACAACGGATGCCCTGCAACCCAGTACTGGGAAACGATATGGAGCAAACAATCACAAAAAAGGTAATTTGAAATGGAACTTTACTGCTTATAAGTCTTTTTACAGTGACACGTTGTGCACTATTTCTATCTTCAATAATGGTTGTCCCTGCCCGTTTCCACACTTAATGAATAATGGCCATTGCAGATGACAGTGGAACTTTTATGGAAAAATGTTTTTTTTTTTTTTTTTTTTTTTTTACAAAAATCTGCAATCATTTTCATAAAGCACATTTATAGGCTCATTTTAAAAATCATTTTTAGGATTTATAAACTTGAAATTGTACATATCACGCATTGTGATTTTTTTTACATGAAGTCACTTGTATTTTCTTCATGATTTATTGTGTGATGAATACTTAATTAAATGTCAGGGTAACTATAATGTGTTATATTTTTATTTTTCTATGCATACATTTACAGCCAGCATTCTTGAGGAGATGATTGCATACTCTGAGTTACTGGCCTGTGCTTTTGGCATTGTCCACCGTAAATGAAGATCACAACAGTGACCTTTGGCTAAACAATGGCTTTGTGCCTTGAAGTAAACTGTAATTTTTCATGCCTATTTTGTTAAGGAGGAGAATCTGTTTCACAGGTTTCCAAGGAACCTGTATTGATTTTTTAGGTTACCAATGGTCTCTTAAAGATGTATTAATGCCTATTTTTGTTTTTAGATAAGACATTTATAGGTTTTTTGGTCTAATGTTGCGTATGTTATTAAAATCCACAAATTATTCTGTTCATCATATAAAGTGATTAAGTCTTGAATTAGACCACTAAATTCACAGTTTTGATCTATTATTGTTTATGTTTTTATTAAAGCAAACCAAGTTTTTGGTGAATACTTTCGGATTTGATCTAAAAATATATTAATTTTTTGTTTCAAAGGTGAGTGAACTTCTTGGAAAACGACGTGACTGTGAGTAAACAACATCATTTATTATATATTACCTGTAATATTCTTGCAAATTTGTTTCTAGATTGAGCCTTTTATTCCTGCTATTAAACTCTTCCCATGTTATGCGATGCATGAGCACCTCCCAAACTAAAACAAAAGCAGTGAGCAGAGGGAGGAAAGGCCCATGTGAGCGTCAGAAACATATAGTCTGCTTCCTCAGAGGCCTCATATGCCAGCAAAACATAAGCAGCCTGTTTGCATAAGATGTTGCAGGAGTGACTCACTGACTGCGGGGATGCAGAGAGGAGATGGACTGTTTCCTCTAGTTGGATCTGTGCCACCGCCACACTCCCAATTACAGCATTCGACTGGCTGGCCGCGAAAAAAGCCGCCTCCACCAGACGGGCTGGGAGCAGCAGCCATGCAGTGGTAAACCAGATGCAGATAAACTACGCTTCCTCTGTCTTCTCGCGCTGCAGCAAACTTAGTCTAGTCAAAATAATAGCGTAACTTTCTGCTTGAGTTCTCAGACGAAGTGTAAATATACCCGCATCAGATTGAGACTGAGACAGAGAATAATATTTCTCATGAACAGGAAACATTCTCATGTCTGAAAATATTGTGGTCACTTAGGCCTCTGTACAGGAAAAGATGTTTGTGATTTATTACATACTAAAAATTAGGCTGCAAGTATTTGAAAGTACCATTCACCAAATGTCAGTGAAAATCAACTAAGTTTCTATCAAATCAGATCTAATGATTAATTAGTTTAAATCTAAGCTGTGACTTTGATAATTTGGTTATTTCTCTCTTTTTTTATTTTTTGTGCTGGCGATAAAAAAAAGTTCTGTTTGGCCAGTATCCTTACCATCTACAGCAGCAAGTTATCAGTCATGTTTGTTCAGACCAATTTGTTTTGTAAAGTATAAAGAAATAGCAGTTATTTACTGATCAGCTAATTACTAATCAGCCACACTGTAAAAAAAATATGATAAAAATCATGACAACTATTTTTTACTTTATCAGGTTTAAACTCAAATTTTTATTAGGTTATACACAACTTAACTTAAATACTTATTCAGTTTGACTGATTTAAGTTAAAAATGACTGGAAAAATTCATGTGATTAAACAAAAAAATTTATGCTGCAAAGATTTTTTTAAGTGTATAATTAAAATTATTATAGTTTATCTAATATGACAAAGCCAGCAGACACAGGAAGTCAACATGACGTCAGATTGACATTGTACCTCAATGTTGCGGGGTCATTTCATTGTGTTTAGAAATAAAAAATCAGGTGTCAGGACACAACATCAGGTTGATGTATGTCCAACATCCAACCTAAAATCAAATAAATATCAGCGTTTAATGATGTTACAGCTTGTCGTTGTGTGGATATTACAATTATGACGTCCATCAGACGTTGGATTTTGGTTGCCATAACTAATGAATAAATGTCAGTTAGAAATTACAGACTGTAAAAAACCTATTGAAGTTTTTTCCTAAGAAAATGAAAAAGGAAAATTCAAATGCCTAAACGATCAAATAATAAATCAAACTCTCAAAACAACTACCCAAATGATAAATCAAATGCTCAAACTATAAATCAAATTCTCAAATTGACTCCGCAAATGGTGAATCAAATCCTCAAATCAAATCCTCAAACCGACTCCGCAAATGGTGAATCAAATCCTCAAACTGACTCCACAAATGGTGAATCAAATTCTCAAACTGACTCCGCAAATGGTGAATCAAATCCTCAAACTGACTCCGCAAATGGTGAATCAAATCTTCAAACTGACTCCACAAATAGTGAATCAAATGCTCAAACTGACTCCGCAAATGGTGAATCAAATCCTCAAACTGACTCCACAAATGGTGAATCGAATTCTCAAACCGACAACATAGATTTCTTTCTCCCACTTATCAGCCAATTTATGCTTTCCTCTTAGCTTGACATTCCGTACTAGAACACGATCTTCAACCTCAAGGAATGAGGTGACTACTCGCTCATCAAATCGTTTCTTGTTCCTTCTTGCTAATTTTGAGGCATTCTCAGTAGCTATTCTATAGCTTTCCTCTAAGCGATCTTTCAGATTTCTCACATAAATGGAATGAGATGGGGATGACCCAGTAGCAGGTAAACCAAATGCTATGTCTACTGGCAGTCGAGGCTGTCTCCCAA